TAAAAATAAAATATAATAAATAATTAAAACGGTCAATATAAATTACCTTTTGTTGAGCTCAGCTAAAAGTGAAACGATCAATGATAACATCGCTAAGTAAAAGAGATAACACGTCTAAGTAAAAGAGATAATAACAGATTTATATACACGAGCATTAACATTGCGGCGACGTCTCTTGGAAGAGAAGGAAAGAAACAAAGTTTTATTTTCATAATAAGCCGCAGTAGCCGTTGTCCAAATATTCTGTGTCCTTTTGAGAGTTAAGTCCATGCTTTTGAAATTTAATGTAAATCATTTCTGATATCAGGCGTTTCAAGTAATAACGTTTCTCATGCAAAACTTTGGCTTGATCCCAATTATTATATTTTAATCTTACCTATTTTTATTTTATGGTTTTTATAGTTATGATGGCTACTTCTTAGTATTAATTTGAACTTCTTAATATTAGTCGGGTAACTGTCTTGTCAGCTATAATACTGCGAATAACATTCATGTCATTTTATTAAGGTCTTTAATTCTTTTACTTGTAATGCGTTCGTTTTGTAAACTTTGAGTTTTTATATCACTGAAGAGGGTTCATGATTGAGCCAAAACGTTTGATTATTTATATTGAGTATTCATGTTCAATAAATATTGCTCTATTTCCTAACACAAGGAAGGTTTTACCTATATAGTACATAACACTATTAATTTTGTGCTTGAACTCGAATTAGCTCTTTTTCCTATAATTTAATTGATATTATGGGAAAATGTTTTTTGAGCAACGTTGGTATATTTTTATGGTCCTAAGAAAAGAATTCCATTTTTATACCAACTATTATATTCAATAGAAAAAAAATTCAAAAAGAAATTTTTAACAATGATTATTCTATTGAACAATAATATTTGGAAAGTCAGCGTATGTTTTGTTCAATTTTAAATATAAAATGAAAATCAGGAGAAAAGTTATAGGAAAACTTGGGGTCTTAAAATGTTAAATTTTTAATCCAGGGCTGGTATTATTTGGGATAGATTGCGATTGGAATAAGTCCGTTAAAGTCCCTAAATTTCTGTGTTTTCTAACGGGAAAACGGGATTAACCTAATCGAAAACCATTCCGAACAGTTCCATAATAGTTTCTCAGAACCCCTCATTATTGTGGGGAATCGGACTGGATCCCAATTAGATCCCAACAAATTTTCTATGGGATCCGCCGAACATCTTCCGAGCACACGCACGCTCATATCTCGTTTGTGCTGAACGTCGCGATGTTAAACGGAAGCGCGCGGATCAAGGATCATCGGCTGTGCAAGAAGCGATGTTAAAACATAGCGTTTACAGTACTTATTCCTTGAAGCATCATTGTCGGCTCTTCTCAGAGGCTAATGAAAACACGTCGGCGCGCGTTGACGCTCGGAGGATTCACGATCGGCGTCAGGTGGTCCGAGATCTTTATTGGATCCCACAGGATGGTTGCGCTACCGCGCGCGGCGCTCGAGACAACCGAAGGTCGACCGTTTACTCCTCGAGGTCGAGAGGTAATGGAATTTCCTTCGTCGATCGAAGCTCACGTTCTCGCGCCCGAGCTGAATAGGCAAAGAGGAACGGAGAAGAAAGTGTCGTTCTTACGAAATGACTGTCGATGAAAGTGTTTAATTAACCGACATTGATTAAGGTTCGCGTCGCGAACGACAAAGTAAGCAGCAGGCTGCCGCGGACAGGGCAGAGACAGAAAGGGACGATTGGCACGCGCGGTGAGGCGTTTTAAGGCGGATTACGATGTTTGAGTCGGTCGCTGTCTAAATATTGGCTCCGCGCTTCCACGAGTTTGCTGAGTAAAGACAACCGGGTCGACTGTTTGACTTTGCTCAGTGTCCACGGATTTTGATTACTGTTGGCTGGCCACGGCCGCTTACACGGTAGTCGCGCTGTGTTAAAACGTTTGTCGCGATGCTCGTTGACAGGTCGACGGATCTCTCAATTTCGCATCATTGTCACACATCTCAGGGGTCGTATTCTGCAGGCGTATTGAACACTAAGTATCCCTCTCTGATTCTTAAACTGAACGAAGACAAGCGTTCGCCATGTTTTCAGAA